TTTTGTCCAATGGAGAAATTGCTTTTCTGCAACTATGGAGATGATCATGTGACTTTTCTCTCTGGAGTACATTAATGTTTTGCATTACTAACATAAACCTCACTTCATCTTAATGCATTTCATAAATAATCTCTGAATTTTGTTCACTAATGTTTTATTTAGGAATCTGCATATTTATTTCTAAGCAAGACTGATCCTTAGGTTTGAGTTATGTATGTGTATGTGATCTTTATCATAGGGTCCCATTCTAAGTATTAGCAAACGGTGAAAAATCATTGCACATTTGAGAAAGTTCCTTACTGTGGAAGGCCAAGACTAACAGCAAAATAGAGCTTGGAGGAAATGGAGATAAGCCAAAGGAAAATCATATTTAAAAACAAACTTTAATATTCTCAGAGAAATAAGAAAAGATGTTACATAGGAGCATAATGAAATGGAGCTAGAACTTAAAAATGAGATAACTGAAGTGGAAAATATCATTTCAGGCTTGGAGGACAGTGAGGTGTTACCCAGAATGTAACACAAAAAGCTAAATAAATAAAAGAGAAAAAAATTAAAGAATTAGAGCATTAGTCTAAATTAAAGTAATAGAATATCTATAAAATGAGAATAAGCAGGTAATCTACAAAATGAGAATAGCAAAGTAAAGGAAGTTATTTTAGAAATAATTAACATATCTCCAAATAGAAGGAGTTTCCAGAATGAAAGGAACATCAATTGCCCAGTGAAATCGATATAGAAATGCCTGCAAAATTGGGAGGAAGAAGATGTAACCCCTAGAGTTCTATACTCAGTTATTGAAGTGTGAGGATAAAATAGAGATTCTTAGACTTATGAGGTTCCAAGATATTTACCTCCTAAGTAACCTTTGCCTTGGGTCTACTGAAAGAGGTGCCTTCTAAGGAAGGGAACATTCGTCAAGAGAATGATTTAGGGTTCAGAAACAGGGGACCTGACTTGAGATAGTGGAAAAAGCATCTCTAGACTGATGGTAACTGGAAACTCCAGGATGGCTCTTGCACATATGCCATATTTGAGAAGAAAAGCAAACTCCAGACTGTTTTCAGGAAGAAGATATCTAGCTGTGTTGAATGTATTGAAAGTTCATTTAATTTCTAGTGGGGAGTTTAGGAATGATTTAACGATAGCTATAGAAGAATTGTAATCAAATGAAGAAAAATAATTAGCTTCAAGTGAACAAATGAATTGAAAGTTGGTACATGAAAGGAAATGTAGGCAAATAGCATGCATGGCTCCGCCATGAATTATATTTAACTGGTCACAATGGGGTAAATATTAAATATGTACTTAACTAAAATTATGATAAAACTATATTTGGAAGCTGAAGCCAAGGAAAATGTATTTGTGATGGTGGGATAAGAGGTAAGACACACCTTTCATTGCTACGAAGTCAAAAGATTATAACTAAAATTTTGTTCAAAGTCAAAGTCCTTAAAAAGGTAGCTACACTTGTTAGTCCCTGTTCCGCTCTCTGCAACACCTCCCACACTCAGCAGTCCCCTGGGTCTGCACTCTTTGCAATGCTAAATCTAACAGAAACTTCCCCATTCTCTGCTGTATTCAACACTGCTCACCACTCTTCTTCTTGAACCGTCCCTTGGATTTGTAAAATGATTCTTTCCTGGTTCTCATTGCACAGTTTTTATATTTTCTTTTCATACTGTTTTAGAGTTTTCTCTTTTCCTGTCCCATGACACCACCCCACAACCCCCTAACATTTTCCAGGGTCCTTTTCTGGACTCTTGTTTTCATGCTGTCTATTCTCCTTGCCCATTATGTCAGCTGACCTGCAGAGAGACCCCTCGTCCTATCTGAAGTCTATTTTTTGAGCTCTAGAATCATACATTGAGCTCTACATTGCATAGCTTTATCTAGAGATGTACATAGCATCTAAAACTCAACTATTTATACTGAACTTACTCGTTTCCCTAAGCCTACACTTCCTACCACAATCTATTTTTGTTAATGAAACCATTCTCTGCCTGATGGCAAAACTAGGAAGCTAAGAGTCATTTCTATCAATTCTTTTTTCCCATGTCTCACATTCAGCCAGTAAGTTCTACCCTGGCCCTGTCTTCTGTATGATAGCTCCTTAGCAGCTGCTTTACCTTCTTCCTCTTTTTCCCTTTCGTAAACATAGGTGGGTAGATGTTTTAGAGGGAGCTTATTGGAAGTTCTTTTCTGCCTGCAGTTTTCTCAGTCATCAGCTGAGAATGAGGATAAGGGAGAAGATTTTAGATGAAAGGAAGAGCGATGAAATTATTTCCTAGGCGAATGGGAGAGTGTATGAATTGGAGAAATGTAATATGGCTTTGAAGAAGCGTGACCTATCCCTTGGGTTACTGAGAGTGGCAGTGCGTTTTCTCCAGCCACACTGAATTACGCAGTGCAAGTAGGGAATGGAGTTAGTATTTTTCAAGCTGGTCTAATAAAGCAAGGAGTGGCGAGTAAACTAAGGGTCCATGCAAGGGACTAATAATAATGAAGATGGTATAATTTAAGTTGGAAAATAGAAGTGTGGAGACTGTCATTGAAAATTAGGTAAGATCAATAAAAGATTTTTTCTGTGACCAAATGATTGTCACAGTTGATTTGACACTGGAACATTTCAGGGACTGAGCTGAATGATAGGAGGTGATTGTCAGGGAGCGGAGTGTTATGGAGGTATGGCAATTGTCAGGAAGGATGAATCTAGGGTATGACTGTAGGAACACATGCCTGAGACAGGACGGAGAGCAAGGTATTTGGAAAAGAGGGAGTTGAAGACCCAGAGGCCACAGTGCTCTGTGGATCATCTGTGTGTGCACCCAGATTACCACGGACCATAGCAGGGAGAGTCCCGGTGAGAGTAAGGGTGAGCGGGGAGCTGACCCTTCAGATCAGGAAGCAGAGTGACCCAGGCATTTGTGGACAGCCTCAACAAGGGCGCAATGGGCAGAATGACTGTAAAAGGACCTACTGGTCAGACCCAGTGGCTTTGAGTGGGGAGGGCGCTGTGATGACTGGGAATCTGTGGTACGAATCAGGGCTGTGGGAGAGAAAACAACCACAGTTCAAGTGGGCTGTTAGAAAAACATCCTCAGGCAGGTAAAATAGTTGGTGGGGAGAGATAAGTGAAAGAAAGTCTAGAGAAGAGTTTGAAGGATAACAGATGATAAATTGAACCACCTACCCCTTTAGTTAAAAAAAATTAATGAACATTGAGTGAATCCCCTCTAGGAGTCACCCTGGAGTTTGCAGTTCAGCTAAAAGCCCCCTTCCTATGTTCCGTTATGCATACCTCTATTAAGCAAAAACCATGCAAGAACTGGTCTTTAAAGGCTCAGTTCCTTTCCCTCCAGCTAAACTGGTAACTTCTGAAGGACAGAAACCATCATATTCACCCGCATAACAATAGCTCCTACTAAAATGCCTTGCAAGGTCAGCAAATGTTTGTTAGATTGGACTTATTGCTGAGCAGTATAATTATCTTTCCCCCAAAATATGAGCTCTTTGAGGACAGAGACTGTATTTTATTTAAACTTGTATCATGTTTCTGGTACAATGACATACACAAAATGTTTGGAAATATGAATTCACAGAATGGACCCATTTTCATTTCTCCTGGCTAGCTTGGCTTCCCTACAGCAAGGTGATTTCAGGATATTTGGAATTCTTATATCACGTCTAGCTTCCCAGACAGAGGAAGTGGGAGCTGAGAACTTTAAAGAGCTAGCACAGTGACACTTCCACTGCATTCAGTTGGTCAAAGCAAGTCACAAAGTCAGCCTGCATTCAAGGACAGAGAAAACAGATTCTACCTCTTCACATGAAAAGGAGAAAGCACACGAGGTGGGCCAAAGGGACTGATGGCCGCCATTTTTTGAGACCATCCTCACAGTGTTTATACCAGGCTATTCTAACTCCTCAACCTGATTTAAGTTCTACTATAGTGATTGAATTCAGTTCAGGGAACACCTCTTTAATGAATTTTACACTCAACTTTAAGACCTGCATCAGGATCTCTGAAACTTCAGAAGGACAGCTTTGACCTTCTAATTCACTTAAATCCGGTTCAATTCCACGGCTATTGAATACTTGTCATAAACAACACTTACGCTTGATCCTCCCCATCCATCTGAGTCATGTCTCTCCCCAACTCCCCAGGTCTGCTGCCTCTATTTTTATCACCGTGCTGCCCCCGTATCGCATGGGAAGCCTGGAGCATCCCATGCCTGGAATATCCTTCCAGTTGCTTCCTAGAACCTCTCTTGGAATAAACGTGGAAAAAACAAAACAAAACAAAACAACTCATGTAATATTGGAATCCTAGGTGGATTCATGACCAGTGTCAGATGTAGTTCTGGGCTTATTCCTGATTATAATTGCTTACTCCTTTTCTCTTATCACTCTCACTTCAGGTAGACTTATTTTGGCTTCATCCAAAGTGAGTTTAGTCTTTATTTGTATTTTATGTTATCATCTACTTATGTATAGAAATAGCCCTGGAACTTAGACATATTCAGCTCAATCAGTCCTGTCTTTGTGGGAATATGAGACTCTTGAGGGAGGGCGATATCTAGGCTTGGCCAAGACGCTTTCTGTACAAAGCTCTTTCTGACTTGTGTGGTCTCAGGGTGCTCTCAAGTCCTTATTAAATTATTTTAGTTGCTCAACTGAAGGAAAATTCTTAGTTATATGTTATTTTTTGAAGCCTTCTCTGTTAATAAATAGGTACCAAAAAGAAAAATCTGCTGGTTTTAGACCCTAGATTTATTTTCCTCTCTGTCACATTATTTATTTCTTCATAGAAATGGTGTTTGAGATACATATTTTTTTCTTTTTCAGAATTAAGAAGCTCAAAAGGCTTCAGCTTATACTTTAAAGGTTCTTTTCGGGGCTTAGTTTTCTAAGACCAAAGAAAAAACCCAAGCCCACAGTTGAGAAACTGAGTTGTTAACATTCTTCAACAGGAAATTCCTGTAAAGGAAGCAGGTTTACTCACTCTTTCAACTAACTCTAACCACAAACCTATCTAGTGGAGGAGGTTGATCAGAGAAGAGTCTCAGATACTTCGTCCTCGGGGCATTTCCTTCCACTGCTGGAGGTAGCTAATTTGGTTTTTCTGTCTGACCATGAATTTGACAATATCAGCGGTCATATACAAAATAATAAAAGTTTTCCTTTCTTCTCCAGGCATAGCTCATTATTTCCAAACTTGTGTGAGTTAAATGTCTATTGTGTCATCTCCAGGTAGCTCTCTGGCTAGAGAGACCAAAAGTAGGATTCTTTGAAAATGGATATTCCCATGTGTTCTTCAGATAAAAACGCCGGCAGGCACTGAAATAAGGATTTGACATTTCTTCCTCTTTCCTATGCCTTAAGGACAGAAAATAAAGGTAAGACAATAGTAAATTTTTTCTCACTAGATTTCCTAAGCAGAAAATTTAAGCTGAGAAAAGAGCTTAAATAACTTTCCAAATGAATTGCTAATACCATTTCTTTCCAGGAAGTATTTTAATAACAGATCTATTATCTAGCAAAATTTATGTCTATCTATCTATCATCTATCTATCTATCTATCTATCTATCTATCTATCTATCTATCTATCTATCTATCTATCATCTATTTATCTATCTATCTTTCTATCTATCTATCTATCCATATACACACACAGAAAAACTTTCACTTGATGAAAAAAACAGGTAGTTATCAAATAAGCCCATGTATAGTGGTTTGAGCGTTTTGTGAAAAACTCAGAATTTTGCCAAATTCAAATGCTTATCCTGACTATAAGATCTTTGAGAGTAGGCACTATTTACCTGATTTTCTATAATTCCTAGACAAGGGGGTATAAAGCTACCACAGACCATGTAAGAATCATATTGGTTGAATTAAATAAGTACTATTACACAAGAACAAGTTTCTATGTGTACATGTATCCTCTGTGTACAGTCACCACTGATCCTGTGGGTAATCATAGGGTAGTTTATCTTTGATAATAAAATTCCCCTTGCTAATCCTCAGACTCTCTGTTGACACCTGCCTTCTCCAGGATTTTCTTCTCTTTCCCTTTGTCCCATTGAAAGCTTTGGTCAGAGAAAATTTTAGTTCACTGTCAACCAAAGATACTAGAAGATATAGCCTTGACTGAAGTGGGGGTGGGTGACCTTAACCTCTGACAAAAGAAATCTGCTTCACAAAAAGCAGCTGTGGATAATGTTTTGGAGATGAGACCCTTCAGATACTTGAAGCTGCCCCCTTGGGCTCTTGTCTCCTCCTGTGGAGGGATAGCATGTAGTGATGGGACAATCAGAAGCTTTGAAACCCTCTACATCCGGACGTGAAGGCCTCTTCTAATACCAGATGAGTGAGGGCCATTAGCAGTGGGGACCACTGTTTCAAACAATGTGAGCCAAGGTTGTCCATCAGTAAAATGAGAAAAACAACAGCAGTCTTCCCAGCTGTGATCAGAAAGTCGGTGAGAGAGTGGTGCAATGTATTCACTGCCATGTTTCCATGGCTTTACTCCCATCAACAGAGCCGATAGCTTAGTTTGCAGTCCGTTGCCAAGGTTGATAAATGAGATACTCTGTGTCTTGTGTGATTCCTTATGATTCATGGAAACACTTTGGTGATGGTGGAATGAAAGCCATCACATAGATGTTAAATGGTCTTCAAAAGGCCGACATTGACAAACAAGCCCCACACAGTGTTACCCCACATAAAGGGGATTCCTAGAACGGACTGGTCCTTGTGTTGCTTAGTTGCCCAACAGTCCTGGCTGGCAACAGCCACTAGTACTCAGTGTGGAGTCACCTCCTCAAATCCTGTCCTTGTCCTTGAGCAGGGTTTCCCAAGGATGCTTCCCGATCACAGCAATCATCCTGACACTTGTTTATAGTAGAGATTCCAATGTATTCTCCTTGAGAATCTGATTGAATATGATCCGGAGAGCCTAAAAATCTGCATTTATAACAGTGTCCCAGGTAATTCTTGTAATCAAGGTAACTTGAGAAACAGTGTCCTAGAGATGAAGCTGTAAGCTGGAAGTACCTCCAGGCAGCCTGAGGTCTTAGGACAGCAGGTGAGCGTGTCAGGGAGACAGCGTCCGGTGGTTCCAGGTTGGGCTGGCTTTCCTGAGGGCTGGAGGCTTCTGGATGTTGTGGCAACTAATTTTCTATATGCTGAAATATTCAAACATAGAATCACAGCAGGTTAGAGCTAAGATGACCTTTGCAATTATATTTCCATTGGTCCCAAGACTCCAGCTTGAAGACACCTTGATTCAATATTTCTGTAAGAGAAACATTAGTTATTGATAACTAATTTATAATTGTTAATATTATTCTTTTGTTCTGCCTTTGAAGATGTTGGAAACATGGGGTGTGCGTTTGTGTGTGTGTGTGTGTGTTTGGGAAACTGGTTGGAAGTGAATAATCTTATAAGATGAGGAAAGCCAAGTATTTCTTTATGAGAAACGATGGGGATCCCTGGAAAGAAAGGTGCTGGGAAAGCTGGGGGCAGAGGGAGTGGTCTCAGGAATGGCCAGAGTGCAGGGAGGAGTAAGGAGAGAATTTGCATGTTTCAGTATGGAGAGAGAGATTATCTGTCAGCTTCCTAAAAAACATGGATGTTGTGGGAAGAGGATTTTTAAAGATAACGTTCATAGTGGCCATACTATATTTAACACAACTCTTCTCCTCCTTTCCCTTTTCCACCTCTTTCTTTTCTTCCCTCATTCTTGTTTTCTTTTCTGTCACCACAAATTGCTTACTTGTATGTTTGTGTTGACAAAGACCTTCTCCTTGACCGCGTCTTGGTCAGGCTCCTCTGGCACCTCTTGGGCTCAGCACTGACCGGGGCTTCTGTCCTGTCTTTGGTCTGCCAGCCCAGTCATAGCAAAGACTTGTGCTGACTCATCCCACGTTCTTGTTATCTGATCACCCTTGCTCTCTGATCAATTTTCTCAAATCTAGGCTTTGATATCTACGTCCTTGATCTGCCTTTAGTAAGAATCCTGTTAGATCAGTTAGTAAAATTCCCTTAACCGTGATGTCTCCTCTTAATGATTCCCCATCGTTGATGGCCTCCCACTGCCCCTTGGCTATAAATCCTCACTTGCCTCATTGTATTCTGAGTTAAGCTTGATCTCTCTCCCCTGTTGAAATAGTATTGAATAAAGTCTTTCTTACTGTTTCAGCAAGTGTCAGAATAAATATTATTTTTACATTGTTTTCTACATTGTGGCAGACCCTTGAGGATGGAGACTATACCGTTTACCTCTTCCTCTGCCAAGAGCCTGAGGGAGTATTTTAGGGAAAATATTTAGCCAAAGTTCAGGGGTAAGTTACCTTATTCCTAAGATCCCAAGAATAATATGCAGGTTATTTTTATATTATTGGTAATAGTTCAGGACTCTAAAAAGCACAGGCAAAGCTCTTCGATAGCAAAATTACTTTCATTTCCTGCTTACAACAAAATTAAATAATATGCACTTGTCTGATCTGAATGTCTGTGTCCTCCCCAAATTCATATGTTGAAATCCTAACCCCACAAAATGATACACTAATGACGTTATTTGGAGATGGGACCTTTGACAGGTGCTTAGGTCAGAGGGTGAAGCCTTCATGAATGGGATTAGTGTTCTTACAAAAGACACTCCAGAGAACTCTCTGCCCCTTCCACCACGTGCGAACACATTGAGAAGGCACAGGCCATGGACCAGGAAGAGAGTGCTGACCAGGAGGTCACCATACTGGCACCTTGATCTTGGACTTCCCAGCCTCCAGAACTGAGCAATAAATTCCTATTGTTTATAAGCCATCCAATATGTGGCATTCTGTTATAGCAGCCAAATGTGCTAAGAACCCACCCAATATTTTCATCTCTCATCTCTTATAAATAGCCTGAAATTTCCAATGACCATACAAGGAAGCTATGAGGACCTGTCGCGAGGAGGACACACGCACTGTGGGCACGGTTCGGGCTCTGGTTCTCAGCCTCGAGGTGGCCTGCCCTCCGTTTAGCAGCTCAGAGGGTTGGTGGTGATTCCAGCCAGTGACGACCTTCTCTTGCTGGTGCACAGAGAGCCAAGCATACTCTAGTCTTTAAAAGCTATCACAAACTGGTAACAGGAACACATTCTCACGTTGCGTACCTGTGAGTTGTAGCCCTAGCTATCCTAACTGAAGAATTGGACATCTTCACTCAACTTAGGCCATCTTTTCAGAAAAACGTTCATTTAACTCTTTCCAAATTACTCATGGAAATATTCATACTAGGTGATAATATTAAGAAAAAGAAAAAGTATTCCACGAAGAAATGGCACGAAAAAAACATACCACATGGTGCAGAGGTCTAAGTGATACTGTGAGCCTGAGATGCTCTCCTTCCTTGAGGTGTGTGAGAAATGGCCCAGACAGACTGACTGCTGCTCACCTTTGAAAATGCCACACCACTGTGGGCATGCGAATGCTTGTTTCTGTAGGACCTGCCCTTTCAAAGCTTCCTGTGTGACTTGCATTTTGATCACCGGTTCCGATTTCTCCATTTCCCATTTCTTGATTTGCAGACATGAAGAGGATTCTCAGGGCAGAGCTCGGAATCACAATGCACTACTGTCTGGCAACAGAATAAATTTACTGAAGTGGTGATATAGAACCCACGGAGAATAATGCTCTATTTGGCCTGGATATTTATTTGGCTTGTTGCAAGAGAGAGAATTAAAGGATTTAATATTTCAGGTAGGAGTTTTCTCTTTTCACGTTGGTACTATAAGTCTTGGGGTCAAAGTTTAAAGTGACAGATGATTTGATGTATCAGCAACATGTGATATATCAATACAGAGCATTTCCTTCCTAGTGTTAAGGTGTAGGGGGAGAAGTTATTGGGATGAACAGATTTCAGTTAATTGCAAGCAGTGATGGGAAACCCACTTGCTGTAGCTGGGTTTCAGCGGGAGCAGGGAAGAGAAATGGGAGGTGTTTCAGCCATTTCTAACAGGAAGGTGCCACTGCTACTGGCAATGCTGATGTTCCCTGGGAGGGAGTTAGAGCATGGGAACAGTGAAGAAGAAAGTCATGCGAGGGAGCTCAGTCCCTCATTAAATCAAGTACTCTTTGTAAATATAAGTTAGACTTTGATATTTTTATTATCATTTTTTATTGAAGTATAGTTGATATATAATATCTTTTTTGGTTTCAAGTATGCAATATAATGATCCAACAGTCACATGCATGATCTAATGCTCACCCCAGTTAGTGTAGTTACTATCTGTCAAGAGTTTGATTAAACTTGCTTATTGTATATAATGCTCCTATGGACATGAGGGTGTGGACATCTCTTTGATGTCGTGTTTTCATTTCCTTTGGATATATTCCCAGAAATGGAACTGTTGGATCATATGGTAGTTCTATTTTTATTGTTTTGATGAACATCCATACTGTTTTCCATAGTGGCTATACCTGTTTACATTCCCATCAATAGTGCACAAGGGATTCCCTTTTTAAAATCCTCACTACCATTTCTTGTTTCTTGTCTTTTTGATGACAGCAATTCTGACAGGTGAGAGATGATATCTCATTGTGGTTTTGACTTGTATTTCCTTATGGGCACTTTTTCAGGTATCTGTGGGGCATTTGCATGTCTTCTTTAGAAAAGTCTATTCAGATCCTTTGTCCATTTTTCATTGGATATTTTGGGGAGATTTTTGCAATTGCACTATGTGGGTTGTTTATATATGGTGGATATTGACCCTTTAGATACGTGGATTGCAAAATTTTTTCTCATTCCATAGGTTGTCTTTTCATTTTGTTGACAAATTTTTTTTGTTTTGCTGTGCAGATCTAGTTGTAGATGTAGTTTTATGTAGTCTCTTGTTCATTTTTTTATTTTGTTGCAAAGTTTTAGGTATTATATCCAAAAAATTATTGCCAAGATAGAATTTTATCTTCTAGTATGTTTCTGTATTGCTTTATTCATTGTTGTTTCTAGATTGCTCTACCAAGAAAATTCTCTGGGCTTATTCAGCAAGGAGTGAAGAGGAGTTTGTCTTATTTTGTGATTTACCAGAGCTACAGAAATTGCATTTACACCACAGACACCAAATTTCACCAACCCAAGGCTCTGAGCACTTGCCCTGCAGTGGCAGTAAGAACCTATCTGATGTCCAATGGTACCTGCAACTTCAAAATGGAGAACCATTAGTGAAAGTTACTAAAAACCATTCTCACATCATCCAGGACAAGAACACCCTCCGTTTTCTGACCACAGAGATGAATAATGCTGGGTCATATATTTGTAGACCCAGGATTAGGTATGTCCCAAATACTCTCCTATATGAAAACATTCCCAAGTCCTTTATTATCTGAATATAATATCTATGTTCACAGGACCTTGTTAACTCTCCTAGGAGCCCTCAGGATGAGGCCTGTTGTGTCAAGACTGTCTTAGACGTTAAGCCCAAGACAAATGCATCCTGTACGAGCTCTGTCAGATTACATAAGCAGTCCCTTCTTCTTGGTAGCATTAGCTCTATTTATTGCCCCAGTCTTGGCTGCCAAAGTTACTCACGAAGTCCAGAGGTGACCTGGTACCAGGTAAGAACCACTTCTTTGAAACTGGTGTCAGTTTTTATGGGAACGTCTCAGTAGGTGCTTCATAGAAATGTGGGCTTGCAAATGTGATGCTTAGAGGTTCTCAAAGACTGGCTGTATTCCTACGGAGAAGACGTGACTTTCTAAAATGGTCTTTCCCCTAGGTAAACAGAGAGTCTGGTAGTCTAATTATTAGAGATTTTGATCAATGCCAGAAAAACTTCTAAAATTCAAGTATACAGGCATGTCTCATTTTATAATGCTTCAATTTATTGTACTTCACAGATACTGAGATTTTTACAATTAAATGTTTGTGGCAATGCTGCATCGAGCAAATCTATTGGTACCATTTTTTCAACAGCATTTGCTTACTTTGTGTTTCTGTGTCACATTTTTTAAAATTCTCACAATATTTCAAACTTTTTCATTATTATTATTATATCTGATAGTGATTTTTGGTCAGTGATTATGACTCATTGAAAGCTTAGATGATGGTTAGCACTTTTTAACAATAAAATATTTTTAAGGTATGTACTTTTTTTAAGAAATGCTACTATTACCACATGCTTAATAGGCTACAATATAGTGCAAACATAACTTTTATATGCACTGGAAAATAAAAATTTTTTTACTTGATTTATTGCATAATTCACTTTATTGTGTTGGTCTGGAACCAAAACCACAATATCTTTGAGGTATGCCTGTATTACACATAAGGTAAGATATAAACTTACGAATATCTGCTAACATAGAAGGCCAGATTCATTCGTTTTTACTGTCTTTGGAAAGCATGGGACATTACTAAGGGGAAGGAACATGCAACCAGTAAGTTGTGGAGGGTTCCTGAAAGAAAAACAGGAGCTAGGAATACATTCTAAAGAGGGCAAATTGGGGAGGACACTTTGGCAAGCACAAGATGTGCAGCTGACAGGGAGCTTGCTCAGGTGAGTCGGTGGGGAGGGAGGGCAGTGCTGAGAGAAAGGGAGCAGACCGGGGAAAGGTGAGTTAGTGGTTTTGAACCACATGTGAGCAGACTTCATAACAAAATCACTGCACAGTTTTGCTGTGCTTTATAGTTTTTCCAAGAACTAACAGATACATAAATGCTATACAACATAGTCCTGTGTCACCTTAGCCCACGGGAGTGGAATCAGGGAATAGAATTTAAAATGCCTCCTACACTGATAATAATTGTTTGAAGCCTTAAACCATGATTGAAAAAATCATGCGAACCTTTACATTTGCCTTTAAAACATGTTTGTTAATATAAAATATCATTTTAAATTGTCACTGATCACAGTTGAGAAGGTGGTCCATGTCTGCTGGTGGCTTTATGCCCTCCAAAAGTCAGCCAGAGACTTGTGAGGCCGCCTAACGCGGTGTGAGGAGACATTTCCTCACTCCATCCTCTCAGGACTTGGTGACCACAGGTGGGTGGTGTCAGGGCCATGGTAGAGTTGAGTACACAGGAGAGTGAATGATGTGTTTATGTCATTTTTGTATTTTAAAGTGAAGTTGAAAATGTGCTGGCCTCAATAAAATCCTACTTTGAGAAATACATTAATTTCATAACCTCTGAAGTGAGGTTTGTGAGATGCGTCCGTGGTTCTGCTCATTATTTTCAGTTCTCTCTCAAGAACAGAATTTCCCTTGGTGTGAAAGTATCTGTAATCCAGGCTGACAGATGTGTAGCTATGTCAAGGGAGGCTGTTCCTAGCCAGGAAAGCAAGCTTGCCCCAGTTATTTCAGATGAAAACGCATTTTGCATTTTCAGTGATTGCATCTGTAAAATGCAGCTATTTTCACTTTCAGGTAAACACTAGCACTTGGAAGTTGCCAGCCTTCTGCATATATTGCTCTTGTAAACTAAACCGTAACTCCATATGACATTCACAAAAGGAAGCTTTATTTCACTTCTCTGGGGCCTTGACTACAAATGGTGGGATGTGTTAAATGGTGAATAGGCATTTATCCTAAAAGTAGGGAAACAATGACTGTTGTTTATTTTTATCTTTGGGTGCAGATTTGGACAGGTCATGGTTCAGGCTATGTTTTGTGAATTACATGTGTGTGTGCATGTGCATACATACTCACACACACATAACACACACAGTATCGTGGAAGGTCACAGATCTCATGGAAGAAGTGTGTTACTAAAAGTGTTAACATTAGACAGGGAAAAACACCCAATGCTCATTTCCTTCAAGCTAAGTAAGCCTCAGGTCCTCTGGGAGGGGGTAGGTCACACATCTCACAGCAGGTGACATTAACACTGGCTGAGGGGATGAAAACATGGTGTTTTCAATTCCAAGGGACTTGTGATCAGGAATGCACCTGCCAGATGTGTAGCCTCCCCAACCAAAGTCAAGCCTGTGCTGCAGTCTCTGGGTGTTTCCAAAGTATTTTTAATAGATGCATCAAAAAATTTAGGTTTGGAGATTCTAAACTGAAATATTTCATGACCTAAAAGTGAAAATTAAAATGAATTTTTTATTATTTATCTGAAGAATGTTTTCTCTATATTTTCCTAACTGCTAAAACGTCTAATGAAAAAATACCCCTGGCATAAACACACTTCATCCTGAATAAATAGTGATTACATGTAATGAGAATGCATTTTAAGTTCTTTAGACAAATCTTTAATTCAGGCAAAATTGTAACAGGGCTGTTACAGAGAGGCGGTATAGAGAGCTCATGCACTTATAGTGTCCTAGGGCACAGAAACATGGGTGTTGGTAACACCCCTGTGATCTCTTGTCTGGAATACGTGTGCCCCAAGTATCTTTTCCACTGGTGGTTTAAGACAATGTCACTCATATGCCACATTCACTCGCCACATTCTGACGTGGCTGCTGTGTTGTCTCTGAGCCTTGTGTTCCATGGAATGTTCGCACATAGACCTGCCATTTCTCATTCTCATTTCCTTTTGGCCTCATTGTCATAGTAACTGCTCCTGTTGAGTCGAGTGACATGAAGCACTTAGGTATGTGAGGCTGGCAGGACCAAGGATTAATGTGATTGCAAGTAGGGAAGATGATTAGAGATGTTTCTAAAGATGATTTAGAGCTGACTTTTGAGAACTGTCTCCAAGGTTGTTATTTTGGCCCACTCGGTTGTTGTTTCTGTGAAATTTCAGAACTCTCATAATCCTGGACAACTTTCTAACATCTGTTCAATGCTATTACCCACATGTTGTCTAACCAATACTGAAACCAGAGAAATTATGTCCTCCCTTGCTTGTTCTGAATGTCATATCTATGCAGCCTGCAATTGCATTAGTTTTGGGACAGCTCTATTACATAGTTGATTTGTTCTGAGTTGGCAAACAGGTCTTTTCCACAAGAACTGCAATCAAGGAGGTTCAATTTTGTGCTAATAGATTAGAATTTGAAACCATGTTCATCATTTTATATTTATTTCTATTAAATTCTAATTTTTAGTGTTATCTCATCATTCTACACATTAAGAAGCTGGAATTGAGATTTTGGAATACAACATATTAGCCATCATTTCCAGATTTGGGAAACTTATAGATGAGATGCATGTATGACAGGTGTTAACTTAAGCATTTAGTAAAAATACTGAACAGCCTATACTGAGGACAAAGTTCTCAGCTACTGACTCTAGACTGATCTTTTTAGTTACATATCATCCATTAATCTACAACTTGAAGGTTGTGGCTCAGTTAACTGAAAAAGGTAACCAAATTTTAACCCATTCAGCCCACATGTATCACTTTTTTTAATAAGGAGATCATCGAAGTATTTTCTAATTTTCATAGGTGTCTCCTACATTCCTCTGGGCCTCTGGTCTGATCATTCTGTCATGTGGGAAATGAGAAGATTGGCATGGTTGTTGCAAGTAAATGCAAGCTCACTGATATTAACAACCTTTTCATTTAAGAGTTAACAAACCATCTGTTAATTCATTCAAGACTTTGGTTAGAGAATGACATCTAGCTCACAAGTCTATAATTGCTATAATGTATGTAGTTAAGTGACAAATATTAGTACAGAATTTATGTGTAAGTAGAAAGTTGTCAGTTGATTATTGGAGCAAGAAACTGTGTAGCTGCACTTAACAGGATATTTCAACATGGGCAACAGAAAACACAGTGGAGACACTAAGGGTAATTCTGTGTATGGTGAGCAGCTCAGTATGGTGGGAGCAGAGGGTTCTTGGGTGGTGTAGGTAGGGTTAGAGCTGGAAATAAATGCTCTAGGTAGTTATGTATATGGTTTTGGGTCCCTGTTGGTATGGTTGAACTTTCTTTATTTTAGGAGTGCAAGGCAGAGGCTTTTATTTAGAGAGAAAGCGAGAAGACAGAGCTCCTGGCTCAAGCCAGAAGGGGACCAGAGAGTCACACTTTTAGCAAATGTGAGTCCTCATGCATAGAAGTGGCAATGGGCACAGAAGGGAGATGGTGGATGCTAGTGGTATTTTCAAGGAATAAAATACAAAATTAAATATTTCAGGGGGTGTGAAAGAGATGACTAATATATTTTGGGTCTCTATGGCTCAAATATAGTCACAGCATCTACCAATTTGGAGTAAGCAGAAATTAATTCAATTGGGGATAATGAGTGGTGACCCAGACAGATCTGGATGCCAAGGAGTCATTAAAACAGACATGAAAACCTCAAGTCCATCAGGGATGACAGGGCTGCATATGTAGATCTAGACTAGAATGAAAAGTTCCTCTAGACCTGAATGAAAGCCTGGATGGAAGCTCTGCCGTGTGGGTGGGAGCTCTGCTGTGAGCGTGGGAGCTCTGCCGTGCACGTGGGACCTCCGCCGTGAACGTGGGAGCTCCGCCGTGAGCGTGGGAGCTCCACCGTGTAGGTGGGACCTCCGCCGTGCGTGCGGGACCTCCGCCATGGGGGTGGGAGCTCTGCTATGAGGGTGGGACCTCCGCCGTGTGGGTGGGAACTCTGCCGTGAGCGTGGGAGCTCTGCCGTGCAGCTGGGAGCTCCGCTGTACGGGTGGGACCTCCACCGTGCACGTGGGACCTCCACCTTGTGGTGGGACCTCTGCGTATGGGTGGGAGCTCTGCCGTGAGCGTGGGAGCTCCGCCGTGTAGGTGGGACCTCCACCGTGCGCGTGGGACCTCTACCTTGTGGTGGGAACTCCGCCGTGTGGGTGGGAGCTCTGCCGTGAGTGTGGGAGCTCCGCCATGTGGCTGGAGCTCCATTATGTTTCCTAGTTGTAGAGAACACTATTCCCACAGAATAGCGCGGTGTGTGTTGTGCCCCCAGGAGTGAGTGTACTGCCTTCAGTACAAGAGTGACAGTGTTAGAGTATAATATCATTAGTGCTTCTAGAATACCTTTCCCTTTTTCTTCTTGCTTCTTACATAGCTTCAAAAGTCCTTTTAGTATCCTGAGCATTTTGCATGCCTCAGCTCTCTCTAGGATTTACTGACACTACTTACACAGGTTCAAACTGAGATGTTCCTCCTTCAGTGTATCGTTCATGACTGTTTTACATCTGAGCAAAATGGCGACTTCCCTGAGTCCTTTAGCAGCTCTTTCCCACTAGGGTAATTTATGACTATTTTATTAGAATCGATTTCCCATCATTCCTGACACAAATTGTTTCTCCTTCTTTCTTTTCTTTGATGTTTCCATCTCATAAGATATTAATGATGTAGATCAAGCCATACTTACCTTTTCCTGAAAAAGAAAACCAGCTCCACCTTGTCACCACCCAACATCCCTGTGGCTCAGCTCAGGTCTCAGTTACAACTCTGTACCTGCCCCCATTACTTTCTTCCTTCAGTTTCTGTTCTTTTTATGTTGTTACTCTTGTTTCTTCGAGTTTTCACTCTGAATTTTACCCCATGTTCTAAATCTTTCTTTTAAAGTGTTCTTGATATGTGAGATCAGATGATTGATATTTAACATTGCCTCTCCCACCTCTGGACTTTCATGTACCTTTGTACATTGTTTGCTGTTTTTTTTCTTTTCTTTTCTAACTTCTTCTCTCTGTCCAGTTCTAGCTATCCTCTTAGGCTCCTTGCCAACCTGCTGGAAATTCCTTTCTGGGCCACAAGAACCACACCAGAGACTTGGAGTGTGGGGAATCCCTGCTTCAACAAGTCAGCAGACAAAGTGGATGGGAGGGAAATTCCTGAATCAGAACATGAAACTCAGAGTTAGAAAAAATTAGGTTGCTTCTCAGCCCTCTATTTACCAGCTCTATGATATGGAACAAAACACAGCCTTCAAAACATTAGTTTTCTCATTTATAAAGTAGAAGGCATAGAATCTATGCAAACCAAGTCAGAGGATCCTTTTGATGAGATAGCACATAAGACCAAATTTTCTAATCTTTATAGATAATAGGTTCTATTTTTTTGTTATTATTTTTTATCTCTCTTATTTTGACATCAGTGCTGAGAGATATGCTCCTGGTACACTCAGGTGGAAATTAGGAGGCCGTGTGCTACATGGAGAATAGCAGCTGGAGGATTACTGGTGTGGTGATAATCATTCAGCAAATATTTATCAAGCCTCTACTATGTCCCAGCTCCTAGTAATAAAAAGGTGATTATGATTGTCTTTGCTTAAATTTGTAAGAGCTTCCGCACTTAGCTGCTAGTCATTTTTCTAATACTGTTGATCATGTGACTCTTGTGATTCAACACCTTTCAATTATACATGCATTTGTTCACTCACCACTTATGAAGAGCTTGCTATTGCTGACCTGCTGGCCTGCATGCTGTATACTGAACACACAGATAAAATACATCTCTATGCATCAGCCCTTTCAACTTGGCCTGGGTTCCAATATACATGCTTTGCTCCACATGTTCCTAATGGCACTTACCTCCAATTGCCTGATTCCCACATACTTTTCAAGACTCTGATTAGACAGGCGGGAGCATCCCCTCCCTCTGCAAGTTGAAACAGGGCTGTGAGAGTGCATCTTACCCTGGCTTACTACTTGAGGCCAGTATTGTGAGGCTGAGGGCTTGTGGAGGGAAGGCATCAGCGTCCATTCCTCCCACAGTGTCCAGGAGCAGCTACAGGCCTTAGCACCAAGGCCGCTTTCAACAACTACAGAGAAGGAGGTAACTAAGAAATAATTATTGTAAGAGGTCTGACATCATAAAGTTCTGTTCCTGATTGGGGGGGCACCTGATGATGTCCTTCCAGAGATATCTGTTGACTCAGAGTTGAATGAGGATCAGCCTACCCAGTGGGGAAAAGTTGTGGGAGAGGTGTGCAAATGGATGGATTGAGAAAGAACGTGGTTATTTAGGGAAGGGCCAGGGCTAGAAGGGCAGTGGCAGGAAATGGGGCAGAGAAAGAATGGGAAGATCAGACTTTAGATCTTATCCTAAATGCAAAAGAGTGTCCCCGATAGATCCCAAGGGAGAGAAATGTTCATCATTATATTGTAGTTCTCACTTGACTTTGGGTCTACTATAAATTAAATAGGTGTTTCTCAATCATCAATCATTCTTTGTCATACTTATGTCCGCCTATTTAGTTACTTAATATTTTAAATTTCACTTTTTATAGAATTAAATTTATTAAAAGAGGAAATTTTAAATCAGTCCTCTACAGAGAAAATGGATGTCAGTTTCCATACACAAACTAAAAAAAAATTCAGTTAGATATCAGCTACTTAGAACACTATGAGTTTTCTAGAATGCTCTCAGGGGCCTGAATCATGCTTTGGGAAAAACTGGGTTACATAAATCTTTGTGGGTTAATCAGATTTGGTGTGCTTATCCCCACTGATGATGGAATTATATTTGAAAATGCCTCCATTTCAGATAAGTACCTTACATTTATCTGATCTGAGCAGAAGCCTTTCACAGCTCTTGGGAGATGCAACCTGGATCAACCAGGCTGACATGAAAACCTCAAGTTTTCCCCTTTCTTGGTTCCAGTTTGTGAGGTTTTTCTATAGGTATGCTTAATATTAATAAACCTCTCTGTTTAAAGAAAGTTTTTTAATTTTCCTGTCTCTTGGATTAGAATGGAAAACTACTTCCTGACGAAAGGAGCAACCGGATCATCGTGGATGAAATTTATGACTACCACCAGGGCACTTATGTGTGTGACTACACTGAGTCGGATAATACGAGTTCATGGACAGTCAGGGCTGTTGTTCAAGTGAGAACCATTGGTGAGTGAGGTTTTCATTTCAGGAGTTGAGATTTGAGCTCCAATTACCCAACCGAAGCTACCTTCTTTGGAGAACAAAACAGTCACTTACTTGCAGTCACGTGGTGTCTTGAATGTGAGCAAACATTGATTTTCCCTGTAGCCTAGATTCCGTCCCCCAGGGAAGGCTTCATTCCGGATCACATTCAAGCTGCTACATGTTGGGTTTTCTACGTGTTGATCCCTGGTTTATTTAATAAATTAAAAAATGATATTAAATATTTATACACAGAATAAATTACACCTATGTATGTGTTGTCAGCTTTAATACGTGTGAATATTTTTCCACATGCCTAAAATCTTGCCTCTTCTTTAAACAAAACATTGTTCCTACAGCTTGTGGCCTGTCCCCTCACTCCTTACCACTGCCTGCCTTCCCAGATGTAGTCTGACCTTATAGTTTATATTCTCTCTGTTTCTGTTTTTTTAGCTTTTTTCCATTATAAATAGAAAATAATAAAACCCATTAATGAAATAAAATACTGTTGTATGTTATCAACATATAATGTTTTGTGTAATAAACACTTGGCATTATTATAAGATACCATTTTGCCAATTTACACTCTGATCAGCAATGAAGAGATTCCCATTGTTCCCAAATAGTATTTGGCGTTATCAGATTTTTTGACTGGTGTCAAGCGGGATCTCTCTTTCTCTCTTTTTTTAAATCTCAGTTTACATTTCCCTGATTACTAATGAAGTTTATTATCTTGTTATTTGTTTACTGGTTCATTGGGTTTATTCTTCTGTGACCTGTCTATTTTTGGCCCTGTCTTCCCCTTGGGTCATTCTTGCCAGATTTACCAGTGTCAGCATGAATACATTATATGAAGTAATTAATTTAAACACAGCCTTTGTCAAAGCCTAAGAGAGGCAGTCATTAATGCTTTGTGTTAAAGAGCTGCAGAGTGGTGGACTTAGCTTCTGGTAAATATATTAACCACTTTGCCTCACCTTCTTTTAGCCTAAGATACCAACTGCACAGAGCACCTTGAGGCCAAATTCTATGCCTGCCTACTTCCTGGTCCTTGACTCTCCACTACTTCAGATGTCAGCAGTTAAAATTTTTATGAGATTGTTCCTTGGGAGAGAAGTCAGGATGCAAATAGCTCATGGCACCACTTGCCCGCTCCCAGAGGCGTGGCTCGCTCACTCTGGCATGACGACGTGGCCCATCAAATCTTCAGTGGCAGAATCTGCTTTTCTTTCTCCCATGGGATGCTTGGCATCTGCCGCCTCTGTTCCAAACAAGACTTCTCTGTCACTACTCCTGTCTTCCTCATTTACTCACTCATTCTTTCATTTATTTGTTCTCACACACATAGATGTTGAACATCTAATACATGCTGGGTGCTGGGCCAAGGATGTGAGAATGAGGTCCTGGAGACTCTCTGTGGCCTCCTGAGCTTCCTGTTCTGTGGGGCAGGCAGAGAGGAAACAGGCTATCACAAAATAATGCATATGGACGCCCACCAATCCCCAGCCTGGGCACGCCACGTCCTAGGGAGAACTGAGGAGTGAGGACCACCTGGCCCAGGAGAGGTGGGAAAGATGCATTCCTGACAGAGGGAGCAGCACGTTTGATATCCGGGAGACAGGAGAGGGCATGGGGCAGTTCAGGAAGGAAAAGACCAGTTGAGGGTGTGTCTGGAAGCTGGCCTGGCATCACACTCTTCTAGTAAGTTTGGACTTTGCCTAGGAACAATGGGGCGCCAACGAGGTTCCAAGCAGGAAAGAGTCATGAATAGACTTACGTGTGAGATAGGTCACTCTGCCTACTGCACAGAAAATGGATCTTTGAGGCAAAAACAGCGGCAGGGAGAAGAGTTAGGCGGCTGTTGTGGTCAAGCAGGGAAACGCTGATGGAGGCTTGAACTAGGAGTGGCAGTGGGGATAGATAGAAGCAGGCAGACTCAAGAAACATTTAGGAGGTGCATCTGAAAAAATATGGGAATTGGGAGTGAGGAAGAGGAAAAAGGAGGGGTCCAGGATGAGAGCTAGGTTTCAATTGGACAGTTTTCTGTAATACACTATCATGGGCTGACGGTGGGACGGAATCCACGAGGGCTGCTGTGAGGGTGGGTGGGGGTGGCAGGTGACTCACGTTCTCCGGTGTTGTCTCTGGTGGCTCTTGGAGTGGATTCAGCTGAGGTGATGAAAATGGCTTTATGTGTACATCAACAGAACTTAAGGATGGATTTTAAGCAGAAGATAAAAGAAAGAGGGATATAAAGGATGTTTTGGTTTCCTGGCCTGGAGAATCTAGTAAAAGGTGGCACCATTTAATGAGACAAAAGGCTAACAAAGAAGAGAGTCTGAGGAAGAAATTAAGTATTAGTCTTGAAAGGACTTTTAGTCATTCAAATTATGGTAACAAGTGGGTGTTTGGAGAAACAAGCCTGGAGATGTCTAGGCTGGAGATGGGAATGGGAGCATGGTGACATGATCTTGAGATGTGCAGGGGCCACATGAGGGCACCTAGGGAGGGAGGTAGAGGGAGGACCTGGGACTGAGGCCGGGAGCACTGCAGGACTTGGGAGGTGGGCAAGCAGGGGATCCCCAAAGCAGATGGATGAGGTGCATGTGGACAGAGGACTGTTCCAAGACATGGTGACTAAACAGTCCTCCAGTCGGGAGGCCTGAGAAGTGATCTCTGGATTTTGGGAGAAGAAGGCCATTATTCATTTTAGCAAGGGGACATCATGAAGGGCGGGAAGGAAGTAAAATCGATGGTGTAGGAGAAACACCATTTCAAAGGACAAGACCTTTCATAGGGAAGTGGCCTGGAGAGCGCACTGCATCCCCCAGCAGCAGGTAGAGTGAGAGGCCCATGGGGGAGAGGTGCGGGGAGAACCGATACTCACAAGAGGCCCAGAGGAGCGGGTTCCAGGTGCGCAGGGGAGGGAGGGGACATGTGGAAGGAGGGCAGGGCATGGACCCAGAGGAGGATCCTCCTTCCAGGGGGCCTGGCCGACAGCGCGCTGCTGAGAGTAAGGCATCTGGAAGACTCATCTGTGCCCAGTGATTTTGGGGGCAGGAGGGCATTGGTGACTTTGGCCAAAGCAGTTTTGGTGGAGTGATGGGGCAGAAATCAAACTGTGGAAGTGGGGGATCACCATGAGCGTGTGGCACTCTTTAAAGAATTTGACCAGGAAGGAGGGAGTATGAGTGAGGTAGGGATGTGAGGTGGGATGATTTTTCTCTCATTTAAGATGGAGAGGTTGAGCATGGACAAACGCTGATGGGAAGAAGCTGAGAGAGAGACAGGGACAGAGACAGAGACAGAGAGAGAGATAGCCAACCCCGCAGGAGAGGAGTGTGATTGAGGCAAGGAGGTGCTGCGAGCCGAAGAGTGTGACACCCAGAGCCAAAGCGGCGGGCTCTCCTTTGTCAGGGGGGAAGGGACATCTTCCAGAGGACGCCTGACAGTGAGGCACGTTGGAAAGGCTGTGTCAGAAGGCTGAGGGACAAATGGTCAATGAAGGGCTCGACTCGCTTTTGAAACAAACCCAGCATTTAAGAATTGTGAGGTGGACGCCAGGCTGGCTGACTTGGGTGGGTTCTCGGGTTCTCCTTCCTGCTGGGTTACCCAGCCAGCAGCCCCAGAGAGCAGTCTTGTAGGAGAAGCTGGGATGGAAGCTCAAGTTTGCACAGGGGAACAGGGCTGCTGTGGAAGAAAATGCTCCTGGGTGGCACTGATGTATCAGGATGTTTCCCTAGTGCCCCCAGCCTGATGTTACTGTCATTTGTGGAGGCATGCTTTTCACATGCAAACCTGGGTTTCTAGCCTTATGAACATAAATAAAATTTGGAAAGGGAGCTTCAAAACATTTAGATCAAAGAGCAACCGTGCACGCACAGCTTTGGCAAGTGGGCCTTTAGGTTTCTCCATGCAAATAATGATTTTATTTCCTCTTTTAGTGAAAAACACTAATCTCAAGCCAGATATTCTGGATCCCGCCAAGGACACACTGGAAGTCGAACTTGGTAAGGTGGCTCTTGTTGTCACCCAAGAATGACACTGTGCTTTTGGGAGCAGGTCTAAGTAGGATACAAGGAAAAAAGCATCAGGAATTCAAGTCAAACAGAATTGGTGTGAAACTTGATCCAGCCACTGACTAGTTTTGTGACCTTATTTAGTTAATCTTTCTAAGCCTCAAGTTTTAAAATCTATAAATAGGCAATAAATAAATAAATAAAAGAGAGAAAGACAAATACTGTATGATTTCACTTATATGTGGACTCTAAAATTTTAAATAAAACAAATGAACAAACAAAACAGAAATAGACTCAAACAGGGAGAACAGACTGGTGGTGGCCACAGAGGAAGGGGCAAGGTGAGGGGCCAAAATAGGTGAAGGGGATAAAGAGATACAAAACTTACAGTTATGAAATAAATAAGTCATGAGGACGAAAAGTATACTGTAGAGAACATAGGCAATAATATTGTAATGTCTTTTTATGGTGCTAATCGGTAACTATACTTAATGGTGAGCATTTTGGAATGTATAAAATTGTTGAATCACTAAGTTGTATACCTGTATAATACTTTATACCAACTATGCTTCCACAACAACAAAAAAAATCAGAAACTGACGTCATAGGGCTGCATAGAGAAATATAGGATAATGTATGTTATGTGACAGGTGCATTGGACATGATCAATAGATTTTAGATTCCACCCAGGAGCAGGTGGTCACATATATCAGGTCTGTTGTTTAAGTCTATAAAATTACCCGATTTACCAACTTGACTAGCGTTAACCTTTATGAACATGGAGTTTTAGTATACTTATGCAGGAATGCTACAACCCTTGCTCAAATAGTTTACATTCTGAAGTAGTGTCTCCTTTTGGGTGGAGGGGCCAGATGACTCTCCTATGGGCCCCTTTTATTTTGGCAACTTCAATAAATATCTATATCTTTCCACATAGCCAAATAAGAACTCTAGATGCTCAAATATTTATAATTACAAAATGTAAAAGTAGATATTATGGTTAAGACCACTAGGTGGCAGTATTAGAGTTTCCTGATTATAGAACTGGGGCTAGCAATATGGGCATCATTAGAAAAGAGGAAAGAAGGGAAAAAATTAACTAATTGGAAATAGCCACGTTAATATGGTATCAATGGGTTTCAAAGTACTGCAGGGATGGGGGAAATGTTAAGTTGCAAAGATGAGTTTTCCAATGGAGTCCCTAACCATTTCACGGTTAAAATGTTGAGTTTGAGGCAGAGTGTATTTGGACACCCCTCACAGAGAAAATGGGTCAAAAGAGGTGTACAGCATGCATACCCATCCAGAGTGCATTGTTCAAGAAACAGCTGAATATCTAAATAATTTGTCCTTTGAACTACAGTAATCTTATGATTTTCATTTAATATGCCAATATTGGTTAGTAAAATATTCCTTATCGACACACCTTGTACTTCAGTAGCAGTGTGGGGAGACCAGCTGGTCCCTGAAATACCTTATTTTCCTGGTGTCCATCCTGAAACCACATCAGGAATCTTATGCCTGGACCATGCTAATCTTCATTTTCAGAACATACAGTCACAAGTTTGAGATATAAGTATTGCCTATCAGAGGCAAACACACCTGGTTTTATTTGTTTCTGAATGAGAGGTAGACATTTGGTTATTTCTGGCACACCTGTTTTACCTGCAAATCTGACTGCATCAGGGAACAGTCTTCTGGCGGAGCCTTCCTGCTGCACAGGACAGAGTGTTCTCATCAGCTTCCTTCCTGTTTTCTGTGGCCCCTTTATTTTCAGGAAAGCCTTTAACTCTTAACTGTACGGTGAGATTTGGCTTCGAAGAGCTCTTTAAACCAGTGATAAAATGGTACATCAAAGATTCTAATCAGGAGTGGGAAGTCCCTACACCTGAGGGGAAAAGGTAAGAAGGAAATTAGAAGACTGTATTCTTTGCAATCCACACTGAATGCGTTCAACTTCAGAACCTCTAAAATGTACACAGGGAAGTGAACACACACACGGACTTGATCACCTGGCAACTAGCACCAACTAGTGGTGGAAATGAAAGTACAGGAATAGAAAGTGTGTGTTTTTTTTAAACATTGGGCAAATACAGTTTTGGACAGGGCCATAGAATGAAATATTTAAGTGGTTTTAAAACTCATTGTGTAGCAACAATCTGATGTGGCTTCTTTAATATCAAGCAGAGAAGCAAGCAGATACCCTGACCAAGGCTACCTGAATAGAAGCATCATGTCCAACAAATGGGAAAGGATGCTGCCCCCTTCACCTTTCCACGTTCCCCAGTTGTCATCCAATCATAGTGGCGCGGTCAGGATCCAAATCTGTGGTCATCAACACCCAGAATGTATCCAGAGGAGATCACACAATAAGAAGTCTGATAAAAGATATGTGAAGCGAGGAATAGTTGAAAGAATGCAACTGGAAGAGGAGACACAGAAGTGGGATATCTTTCTCCAAGTACTTGGAAGTTATTAATGAGAAAGTGGACTTAGTGTTTTTGCTCTCTGGAGCACAGAATCTAGATTAGTGGCTCAATAGAAAGGAAAACTCTAGACTTCAGGAGCTATCCAGTGGCTCACAAAGCTAGACTCCAGTCCCAGGAAGAGTTTAAGGGCTTGGATCCAATCTGTCATGCATGTCACTACAGGATATAGTCCCTCATTTTTCTGAGATCTGTCCCCAAGTAATAGTCTATGTATTAAGCACTTCCTTATGACTTTTAAAACATTTCAATGAACAAATAATATCATTTTGAAAAGTATAAATCACTACAAAAAATAAAGGACATATTTTTATATCAATAATTAAACTTAGCAAGGACTTCTAAGACAAGGGAGGTCATGAGGGTCCATCTTAAGCTGATATTGCATCAGAGTTCAAAGTAGTTGAGTGTGGTGAAGACAATGTGCTCTGACCTCACATCCGCTTGCACTTGAATCTCTGTTTTCCACCTATTGGCAATCATATAATCAGAAACTCTTTTAAGTTCTTCTAACACCTCCTTACACTAGTGGATGCCACAGTTCTTCTGAAAGCTGAACTGTTGGCCGCTTATAACTGCAGACGGGTGTCGATTTATGTAACTGATTGAGTGTGGTACCTTCCCTTTTTCCTAGTGTTAAATCCACTTTGAAGGATGAAGTCATTGAGCGTGTTGTCTTCTTGAAAGAAGTTACTCGGCGTGATCTTCATAGGAAGTTTATTTGCTTTGCCCAGAACTCCATTGGGAACACAAGCCAGTCCATCCAACTGAGAGAAAAGAAAGGAGGTAAGCCTGGAAGGCTGTCCCAGAACACAGGCAACTGCTTTTACCTGAGAGGAGAGGGGCTATCCTCAGAATGGTGGTGATGATGAGAACAATGAGCATCTACTAGAGGCCAGACAGTGTTCTGAGCACTTTGCTCATATTAACCCATGAGATACTTTGACCAAGGCCCATAACTATTGAGTTTTGTGTGAGTGATCCAGAGCTGCTCCTGTTGCCTAATACTCTGTACAGGGGCTGTGTTGAAGCCTGCCATTCATTCATTCACCCACTCATCCTTTCTCTCTACAAATATCTAAAGGGCATGCCCTATGTGGCATGTATTATACTAGGACCTGGCTCCATTTCTGGTTTTTCCTTTACTGGCCTCTGAATGCAGAGAATGTGATGGTTGGGTATTGGAGAGTCGAGTAGAGAAAGAGTAATCTTGCTCATTGCTCAGAGTGGTATGTGTATATCATCGATCATAGCCTTTTAAAGCTGGGGTGGAAATTCCTGGTAAGGAACAGCCTTTATATTTCTTTAGGAAGATGCTCAGAGATGAAGTTGATATGAGCCATTAATTCAATTAATAGGTGAATGTAGAACAATCAGGTTTCAAATGTTTGTGAGGCTTAAATAAGACAAAATCTGTGCATGGCCCACCTCAGTAGATGGCTGTACTATGGCTTCCCTTGGTAGATGCATGTGGAAGTTCCCATGAGTTGGGTACTAAGGAGATGAACCAGATGTGGCTCTTGGCTTCAGAAAGTTTGGACTTAGCAGGGGCTTTAATGCATGAAAATAATTTATAATATGCAATAAGAGGGATGCAGTGGGTTGTGTGGAAGCTGAGGGGGAAAAATAAATGAAAATGGCTATGATCAGTTTCCCAATTGGAGGTGCCTATCCCCCTGGTTTCTTTCAGGTTCATTGTAAGAAAGGTCCCTCAAAAAGTGATGTAAGAGGTTTCCAGTCACAGTGATTTTGATAAAATAACAGGGCAGGAAAAGGCAGTGGCCGGGTCCCCATGGTCGGCCTGAGTGTGGCCTTCTCCCATGATTGCTGGTCTGTGTTTGCTCATGGCTGCTGTGTTTTCCCCAGTGGTGCTTGTATACATCCTGCTCGGCACCATCATGACCCTGGCAGGCTCGCTGATGGCAGGGGCTCTGCTCTACATGCACTGGATTGAAATAGTGCTGCTGTACCGAACCTACCGGAGCAAGGATGAGACGCTCGGGGGTAAGGGGAACCCAACTTTTCTCTGACTTTTCCTCCCAGAATTGACTTAGAGGGAGGAGTTCAAGAAATGGATGTTTCCCGAAGGATAAAGCCATGACCCCCAGGCTCTGAGTCCTTCATCCAGAACTGGCAGCTTCACACCTGGGAAGTCTAGGACCAGGTGGAGAAACAATTTCTGTCCAGTTACCAAGAATCTTGCTGACAATGCCATTGTAGAACATGTTGGGCTCGAAAATAATCTCTCTACTAACTAACTGAATGCAATGTGGTGAATGGCTTAACATCTCTGTGCCTTAGTTTCCTTCTCTGTAAAAGGAGATTGTAACCACAATCACAGTGCACGCTATGAGGGCTCATGGAGTTAAGCACAACAGCATCATGCACATAGCAAATGCTCAGTACCTGCCAGCCATTATTATCACTTGAGTTCTGAGTGCATTCCAGTCACATACACTCGTGACTTTAATTGTCACAGCAGTCCCCTAAGCTAGTCAGAGAGACGTGAAGCCATGTGACCAAAACTAACTGCCAGGTAGTATTAGAGCCTAGCACTTGGACCAGGCAGTTGGCTTAGACCCTGCATATTACAGTGGTTAGTCTCACCTGTAAAATGAGGGGCTTGGATATGGCACCAGTCCTGAGAAGCGTGAAATTCTGTGACATGCAAATACTATAAATGAAGTATCTGTCCGTTTTCTCATGAGATAGGGTAATAGTGCTTATGAATGTTTGCTTCTTTAGAGAAGATGCTTGACTCTTTTTTCTAGTCCTGGAGGTCTCTAAGGTTAGAGTGCTTGCAGTTTTACTGAGTGATTCTATTGCTTGGGAAGAGCAGAACCCCTTCTAACAGAATCCAGGGAGGATTACCTACCTGAGTGAGATGTTCATTCCCAAGCCAGCCCTTTCCCCACACGGTGAGATCAGTGGCAAGCTGGCAGATCTCCAGGGAAAGGCCAAGTAATGAAATATATCAGTCATACCTTTTTGCAGGCCCTTCATTGAGAATAAATACAGACTTTAGCCAAGAATGTATTTGAGATTCATTTTTTAAATTAGTTTTTAGCGTTTTTGAATTGAGCAAGTTACCACATCAATGTTTTAATCATTCCCTTAGATGACATCTTACTTTTTTTCCTAAAATGTTATTTATCTTAGGATTTTAGATCTTGTACAGAAGCATCAGTCAACTGTGATGCATTTAAATGTGTCCTTTCTCCCCTTACTTTGCACAGACACCATTTCAGTAATCTGATGTACCTGGTTTTCAAGCACAGTGATTTAGGGCCCTCTGTGGCCAGTCTGATGTTTTTTTAACAAAATGACTGTTTCCTTTGAAGTTAATATTGAATATCCAAACTTTCAGAGAGGCATAGACTGTCAGCATCATGGGAAATCCAAGAGATTGCCTTACACTCCCACTCCATAAGTTTATTACTAAAGAAGTGTAATGTTTCTAGATTGTAGAAAAACCCTAGCTTGCTGGAGGTTCCCAGGGATGTGAAAGGGATTGAGGTGACTGTGGTGTGTTACACATTCAAACTTCACAGGCTCTCCCTGCTGGCCATGCCGTGAGCCTCCTCCTTCCCACCTGGGCAATGAGGAGCTTCATAGATGAGCGTCCCCTGCCTTTGGCAGCCTCTTCTCCCATCTCCTGAACCTCCTCCCTCCTTCTTCCTTTTCTGTTGCTGGTACTTCATCTGCTTAGGCCTCTTCTGAGGTCCACACTGAACACGTATGCTGCCAAATTGCATCAGCAGCCAGTGCGGTTGCTTACCATTTTTAACAGTACTATTAGCCAGGAATTGTGAAAAGCACTGGGGTATGAGCCAAGTGTGTGTCCATTTCCAAAGCTAACTTCAGGGATTTTCTACTTCTTCCAGGTACTTAGCTTTTTAGCACATCCCAGTAATCAATGTGCATTTGTAACAATTTAGTCAACAGAGGCATATGAGACTTAGAAACATCCTAAAACAAGTTCCATAAATATAGTTTCCCATCTGGAAGGGGAGAAGGGGGGGAATGTTTACTTATGTTGCATGTGTTTTGAGCCAGACACTGAGCACTTCATATACATTATCCCATGCATCCCTGACAACAGTCTGTGGGGGAGTTATTATCTTGTCTTACATTTGGGGATTCACATAGAGGTATATGTGTTGTCAGCTGGCTAATGTGCAAGGCTTGGTCTTGGTTGTGATTTGCTCTGCTGGATATTACCATGCTTTGATGTAGCAGAGTCTTCTTTGATGTGTAACTAATGAGACAGCAACACTGCAGATACAGAGAAAACTCAGAGGAACTCTGAAGTGCATGTAATCTAATCACATAAGGCCCCAGCTGTCTGATCTGACCTCAATGAAAATTCAGGAGTGCTTCATAAATTAGAACTTGACTCTGCTTGGACCATCAATGCCACACAGCAGAGTGATTTTGAAATGAACACAGCTGCTCCTTTTAATTTTTAAACTCAGTTCAGTAAGGATCCCTAATCTTAATTCCTACCCATTTACCATATGGTTTGAGCATATGTAGGTACACCATGAAAGTGACATTAGTGACAAATATGGAAATGGCTTACATTTTCTGTGGCTCCTCTTCTTCAGATAAAAAGGTATTCGATGCTTTCATATCCTATGCGAAATGGAGCTCATTTGAGAGTGAGGCTGCTTCACCTCTCAGTGAGGAACACTTGGCCCTGAATCTGTTCCCTGAAGTTTTGGAAAACAAATACGGATACAAGCTGTGTTTGCTTGAACGAGATGTGGCCCCAGGAGGAGGTAGGTTCTGCCGCCTAGAGAAAATGCAGAGTACAAAGGAAGTCCAATGCAAGCACTAAGTTCTTCTGTCATTCTTTCTGTTGGGATACATATCTTTTGGAAGGTTCCATGAGCTTAGAGTATCTTAGGCAACAATGCAGAAAAACATGTGTTGCAGAGGTATGCTCCAATATCAAAAAGTCCATCTTCAGAAAAAAAATGTTGGGCCCTAGGGAGGTCTTTTGGGACAAAGATCTCTCTCTCCTGGTTCCTCTGCAGGAAATTTTCTCTGTCATGCCAAGGTGTTCCCCTACTTTCTAAGACTCTGCTTGTCACAGACCCTGGATCCAGCTATGGGCATGCATGAGACATGGAGACCTCGTCTCCTCTACCTCAGACACTCCACCAAGGAGTCTGGGACATTCCAGGCCCCTCTATTTTCCCAGGCCACCTTGTTCCAACCAGATTTGCTCTTAGAGGACACAGAGCACCAAGGGAGGATATGGAATTGAGAGTCACTAGCGCTGGAGTTTATCTTCAACTGTCAATTGAGTTGATACAGCAAAAACAACGTGGTAAACCATGTTTTCTTTCCTCTTTGCTGAACTGCATCCATTACAAGGAAGCCTCTGAGTAGATTGGGGAAACTCAGGGTTATTGGGACTCATGGGTAATAATAAGAATTTCAAGTGATTACATTCTTTATTTTCAGTGTATGCAGAAGACATCATGAACATTATTAAGAAAAGTAGAAGAGGAATATTTATCTTGAGCCCCAACTATGTCAATGGACCCAGTGTCTTTGAGCTACAAGCAGCTGTGAATATTGCCTTGGACGATCAAACACTTAAACTAATTTTAATTAAGTTCTGTTCCTTCCAAGAGCCACAGTCTCTGCCTCATCTTGTGAGAAAAGCTCTCCGGGTTCTGCCCACAGTCACTTGGAGAGGCTTAAAATCAGTCCCTCCTAATTCCAGGTTCTGGACTCAAATGCGCTACCACATGCCAGTGAAAAACTCTAAAAGATTCACGTGGAACCATCTCAGAACTATACTAAGAAATGTTTTCACTAGGAAAGACTCAAAAAAGCAGACACCACTGGGAGGAGCTCCCAGCCCAAGGAACGGTGAGAAGGGTCCCGAGCAGCCTTCCCTCTGGCCTCCGGCGGCTGGAGATGTTGATGGGAAGGACACAGAGCAGCAGTGGGGCTGATGTAAAATGGAAAGTGTTCTGCCAGCCCCATGCAAACCTGGCAGGCACTGGAATGACACTGAGGCTGTGGGCAGAGCCTCTGATCTCCTGGACTGACAGAGGGAGAGGGACTCCTCCGGATATTTGCACACATTCAAGATGCAAAGCCCCCGAGGTTTTCCTAGTGGCCTGTGCAGTACCAGCACATACAGCCACTTTTGCTTTGTGACCATGGACTATCATGTCTACTGTGTATGCACATATAAATTTTATGTACATTTTGCAATCAAATACATATTATTTTGTTAGAAATGAGTGATTGTGATTTGGACTTTGCCTGACCCTTCTCTGTAAAGAAGACAATTTTTACTCCATGTTGTCTCATTAACTCTGGGGCACAGAGAGCAAGTAGGAAAAGCAGAGGCCGGGCAGACAAGGAGCAGACAGGGCAATGGCTAGCTTCTGCTGTGTCCTCGTGGAAAGCGCCCCATTGAGCAGATGAACTGGAGGGAGGAGTCCCTTCAATCGAGCCAGTGTAGCCCTGTGCAGGACATAAAGCTTGGGGAGCAGAGTAGGGTTAATTTCAGCTTCTCCTTGTCCCTTTGGCCTTTGTGCAGGGCGTGGAGTGTACACTTTGCCACGGAAGCAGGGATCAGGTAAGCTAAAATGATGAGGCCAGTGAGGGACAGACAAGCAGTTACTTACAAAGTAGAGAGGTGGTGTCAGGAGTCAGCAGCCAAAGTAAGAGTCTGGGAAGTAAATGCATGCATATGCTGGTTAACAGACAGCAAGAACAGAGGTGGAAGAGAGCTTTAGTCTGAGCCATTTGCCTGTGAGGCTCGTGCTCCTTCCATGCTCTTTCTGACCTGCTGATCTCATTTGAAGCTCTCTTAAATCAGGGGTGATGTGCTGGTGCAGCTGTACGTGATTGTTCCTAATATACAGGGCTAATTTCATTCTCATGTTTGTCTTATGGGAGTTCAGTCTGTGGTTAGAATGCTGTCCAGTCATATGGACATGTAGAACCCTCACACTCTGTCATCCCCGATGGAGTGGAGTGATTTATTTGAGCAATACAGAAAAGCAAGCTCTGGACTCATTCCCGTGTAATGTGTCCCATCCACTAGTATGAATGTGATCCACGTGGCTGAAAGCCACTGTCCTGCAGCATGGCTAGGAGCCTGTGTGAAGTGCTCTTAAGCTCTCCTTTCACCAAGGTGCCCACATCATAAAAACCAGTGTGGCTTTGGCACCAAGCAATATCCTTGTAGGGGATTTCAGTGATAAAGTTAAAGATGAGTTAGCGAGTATAAATTATTCCTGGAGGAAGCTTCTTGTGGGAAGACTCATTGCAGGGTCTCAGCGGGGAAGAATCCACACTGTCACTGTGACGTGTGTGATGGTGATGGCCAGAATCCCTGGTTTTCTGCCCCTCTCTTAGATCTAAGACTCAGAAACCTCTTTTGGCCAGTTTATCCAGGTTCATTTTATTCTAAAATAAATATTGCCCAAACAGATCTATCCAGAGATACAGAATTTTAGTTCTTAGCTTAACAAAAACTCAAATTGAGTTTTAGGTTTTCACATATATGTGCACATACAAATCTAGGTCTAACATTTACAGAATGTGTTTTTTCCAGGTTCGTAGGTACACTGGAGATGATAAATTAGCACGTGGGGCAAAGGTGTATTTACATTTCTTACATGCAAATCCATCAAAATGGAATGGACAACCAAAACAAATTTTCTCTATATAAGAGGCTGATGGCAATTACATAACTGAACTTGGTGTAATACAATGAGAAAGAGTATTATTTTCCCACCACACATTCTAAAGAAGGTGGCCATATATCCTGGTCCCTGGTTTGGACCTGTTGCCCAAGCATAATTTCCATAGTCCAAGTACAATTTCTCACTCTGGAAATGTGTCCTAGTGTGGATGATGGCCACCCTGCCTCTAACACATACCACAGAGCACTTCTTACTGACTCTGGGTGATATCTTAGGCAAATCTCACAGCTTTCTTGGTCCCCTCTGGGTTTTCATACCTAAATTTATTACCTATGTTATCTCCAGATTACAGTTCCAGTAAGATGGAGTAAGCATGCAAGACCATCTCTCCCATTCATTGCAGCTCTAAGACCTGAATAAAATGCATAGAAAATGAATTTGAGGATTCTGAAAATTAAATCTAAGCAGGAAGATTGGAAAACACAAGAATTCAAAGTTTCATGATTTTATTTTTTCCCAATATTCCCTTAGCTTGGATTCAGTGAAGTCTGAAATCAGAAGTGGACACTGGTGATGATAGAAAGAACTCCAGAAAGAAGCCCTCTAGTTCTGCCTTGAGACTGAGAAGGGAGTTTCCTAACATCCCCATATTTGTCCTCTCTGTGTCTCTTGCTTCTCAGCCCCTGTGCAATCCTGTGATGGTGGCATTGGCACCAACGAAAGCAGAGGCAAGAAGAGCTCTCAAGAGCCCACATCTCTGTGGAAGGAGAACTGACTGCTTTAATACAAGCAGCTGTGGCCCCAAGAGAGTGTAGTGAGCCTCTATTGATGTTTTGGTCTCTCCATCTTCTCACCATTTGCCTGCAGAGATGGAAGCACTTGGGGGAAGTGCACTGCACAGTGGGGTATATAAAGCACCAACACCCTGGCCAGAGAACTGCAAGAGCAGAATAAAATGCCTGTAGATAGGGAAAGTACCATGGAGACTGAAGACAGAGAGGTGCTCAGGAAAGTGAGCTCATAATGTTGCTTACAAACTTCTGGACTCATCTTCCAGCTACATATGCATGAATCTGACCCTGATTAAAATTGTAGGCTGCAAAGTTTGAGAATAGAGTTATAGGATGGACCACCTCCTAGGTTCCAGACTGGCTACAGAAAGATGTATGTATGGAATAAGTTTCAGTAGAACTGAAAGAGAAACAGAATTTACATTGAAACCACAAAGCTGGTTAGAATTTGGGGTTTGAATCTACCTGCATGAACTGCCTGCTAAGTCAAAAATAGCATCCTACATAGGACTTCAACAAGATCCAGAGTTACATAACATAATGTTTAAAATGTTCAGAATACAACCCATTGAAAGCAAAAAATGGTAACATTTTCTGATAGGATTTTCAATGTAAGTAGACATAACCTCTAAGTCAACTGCAACATAAAGGAGAGATGGTATATGGTAGTAAGGTGTCTACATATCACTTGAGGTGGTAAAATACTATTTCTAAATAAAAGTGAAAACATAGTATGTTATATTTTAATCCCTTGGGTAAACACTAAAAAAAGCAAATGAGAAACAAATATTTTAAAAATATACTAGATGAATTAAAATGGAATAATCAGAATGTTTAAATAACCCAAAAGAAATAAGGAAAAGAAAAACAGAGGAGAAAAAAGCTGAGGAAATAAACAGAAACCAATAATAATACAGTAGGCTTAAATCCAAACATATCCATAATTATATTAAATGTAAAATGTATAAACATTGTAACTAAAAGACCAAGATGATTAGAACACATCATTTTAAAATGACCTAAATATATTCCCTCTACAGAAATTACATTTCAAATATAATGAAATAGGTTAAGTTGAAAGTAAAATGTTTAGATATAAATATATTATGTGAGGATTAATAGAAAGTTGGAGTGCCTATATTAACATCAGCTTAAGCAGAGAAAAGAAAATTACCATAGATAAAGGCAATATCATATGATGATAAAAGGATAAATTTGCCAAGATGATATACAATCTTAAATGTGTATGCGCCTAACAACAGATCTCACATACATGAAGCATGTCTAAAAGAAGAAATAGACAAATCCACACTTGTAGATTGGAGACCTTAATGTTCTTCTCTCAGGTGTTGATAAACCTTGTAAACAGAAATCCAGCAAGGACATAGAAGAACTGAACACTATCACTTACTTTATAATTTCTAGATGTATTGGCATTTATAGCAGAATACTTAACAACAGCAGAGGACACATTCTTTTGATGTTCACATAGAATATCTTCCAAGACAGACCATACCCTAAGTCATAAAACAAACACTAACAAAAATAAAAGAATTATACAAAGTATGTTTTCAATTAATAATGAATTTAGACTAGAAATGAATAACATAAAGATGACGGGAAAATTTCAAAACACTTGGAAATTACAACAAATTCCTAAATAATCACTGGGTTAAAGAGGAAGTCTCAAAGAAAATTGAATAATTTTCCAAACTGAATAAAAATTAAAATGTAACATATCAAAATTAGCAGGATAAGGCTCAAGCTATGCTTAGGGGGAAATTTATAGTATTAAGTGTTTATTAGAAAAAGAAAATATCTCATATTAATATCTAAACTTCCACTAGCAAATGGAAGGAAGGAAATAATAAAGATAAGAGCACATATTGAATATGTTGATTGTATTTAATATGGGAAAACAACAGAGAAAATTGACATCATCAAAAGCTGGTTTAATAATCAAAATTCTTTCAATGTAAACCTCTGTTTAATAATCTAAGGAAGAAAACCTATATGATCATACCAACAATTCTAAAAAAGCATCTTAACAAAATTCACTATCCATTTATCATAAAAACTCAACAAATTAGGAATAGAAGGGAATGTTCTCATTATGATATAAAGGGTTCTACAAAAAAAACTACAGCTAAAATCATGCTTGATGGTGAAAGACTGTATGCTTTCCCCATAACACAGGGAACAAAGCAAGGAAGCTTGCTCTCACAATCCTGTTCAGACTTGCATGGAAAGTCTTCACCAGTGCAATAATACAGGAAAGAGAAGTAAAATGCATGACATTTAGAAAGGAAGAACTACACTTGCTTATTCCTGGCACATGATTTTCTATGTAGAAATCCAAGGAAGCTACAAAAAAGTAAGAAGTGAGTTCAGCAGGATTTCAAGATACAAGACTAATGCACAAAGATATTTCTATCTCTGGTAACAAATGACTGAAAATGAGAAATTAAAAAGCCTTACCACTTACAATAGTTCCCTCAAAAAAGAAATACTTAGGAGTAAATCAGCAGAACATTCAGATGTTCTATATGCTGAAAACTACAAAATACATATGGAAGAAATCAAAGGACAGTTAAATAGAGAAGCACAGCATGTTTATTGACATAAATATTCAGCATATTCTCAAATCAACAATTCTCCCTACATTGATTTAGAAATTTAACACAATTTCAATCAATATACAATCAGGAGTTTTTGTAGACCTAGGCAAACTGATTCTAACATTATATGGGAAGGCAA